ACACACACACACACACCACATGCTGGCAGGATATTCGGCCTATGAGAGGCGAAGTGCCCATTGGGCCCCGACTAGTGAAAAAACCGGATGTTCTCAGGTGCACTTATGATGGGATTTTGCCAGTTACACCGAACCCAGCAGCAAGCACATCTTCACTCCCCAGGTGATCAAATTAAAACGACCAGAGTAATAATGTTCAAGCACATGTGCAAATAGATATTTCTCCTTTCTTGTGGTGGGAAGGAGATCCAACCTCCCCTTAACTTTATCATGTTTATGCGCTCATGGCAAGGGATACATAACTTTTCATTTTGGAGCCATGTCAAGTTTTGCACCATTTGAAATTAGACCAGTGAGACATTAGCATCGTATGCTTTCTATTTCATTTTTTTGTTTTTAATTCACAAGTCACAAAAATATCAGCATATGGAGTATCGAGAGACTAGGGTTTCTCTTTGTTTCTTCATATCACAACTCAAAACAGTTCTTTACTGGTAAGAACATACACGCACAAATGTAAAGGTGAGTTAGATAAAGGGATATATTGACAATTTTTTTAAGAATAGAATCATCTTATGAAAATCTTTGGTAGAAAAAAGGTATGATTCCATTGTAAACATGAAATAAAATTAGAGAAAAACACAAATTCATTAACTTACATTCAGGCATTCAAGAGACCTTTAAAAAAATCTCTTCCTGCCAGCAAACCTTAAAGAAATCTATTTTTGCCAAATATAGTTTAAAAATCTAGGACAATATAAAACAGAAAGAAATAATAGAAAACAAATTCAAAATGACAAAGATATAATATTGTTTACTTTTTTCGTTTATACTTTCTTCTAAATTCTAGAATATTTACTGTTTTCTGTAGTGCTTCTTTTCATTAGATTTTCTTAGATATTACAAGAGAAGAAGCAAATATAAAAAAATCTCTAGAGCAATCACCATGCGAAGGAATTTTCCTAGAACAAAGTTTCGTCCTAGTGCTCCAAAAAAGTGAGAGGCCAAATTTGGCCATCTTGTAAACATTCACAAATGTACCCGACTTCAAAAATTCTTGTGGCCAAATTTCTAAAATCACCATTTAGCCATAAATCACAAGCCACTGAAAATGAAATCTGAAATCCAAAACCATAAAAAGACGGAGGAGAGAGACGATATCTTTGACCATTTAGAGTTGCTCAATATACAACAAACATACTTATATGCATTCCAGAGGTAGCTGTAACTATGAATATTGAGCTTATCAATCCGTAATGACAGTAGAGAACTCTTAAGAATTCACATAAAGATCCAAACCTTAAAATGAGTGTAATCTGCATTAAACAAATGATAACAAAGTCCAGGAACATGCATTAACTTCAACTTCTGGACCCCCATAAGCACAAAGATAGTAAACACTATGAAGCCACTATCAAGGGAAGCTACTCTTTGAAACTCCCCCACTTGTATAGCCCATTTCCACACTGTGTACCTCCAACTAATAAAACAAAAATGGTCCCTGGTCTTCTTCACGACTATCTCTTTTCTGTCATTCTTTTCTTTTTATTGTTAGTGATCCTCAGATTTGTGAAAGGCTTGAATTAACACACTCAATAGAATATTGAAAGAGTACGGTGGTGTCTCAAGGATTGGCAACTTACGCCAACAGACCACAACCAAAGATCCAATTCTACGCTTAGAACCTGTATCAAGGCAACATATACCTGCAATTAGCACAAGAAATGATACGTAGTATAATGGTACCATGAAAAGAAGTATATTATTCTCCTAATATTCTGATAATATCATTTTGGGGACTTGTTCATAAAGCTTAAACCTTAAGGAGCAATGTATGATAAAAGGACAAGGACAAAATAAAAGGGAACTTTTCAATAACTTAAAACGGAAATATATGGGAAGGAGGGTTGGAATTGGACACAAAACAACAAAAATATAAAGAAAAACAGCGAATACAGAGTGAGAAACATCTCAAAGAAAGTAATGCTTAAACTCCACTTCTATTTCTGCAATAGAAGGTTGCCCTTACATCAAGAAATGTCTCTTTGTTATCCATTACAAACAATCATGTTTTCTCTCCCTCCCTCCCTCCCTCACTAGCATAAAAATTTAACCACATACAAGTACAAGACAAGAAACCCTATGGGGACAAATATAAATATAAAGGCTCAAATAGAAATTGCATAAGCACAGCGTCTTATTTTCCTTAAGGAGACAAGTAAATAATTGAGAAAGAGCACCTGACTTGGCAAACAACCCAATTGATTAAACAAATAGTTTTCACAAGATTCAAACATTCATTATGAGAGCACATCAATCAAACATTTTTTTTAGATACATAAGGAGCATGATGACCATTGTTCTTTGATAGCCCTAATGGAGATTTAAAAAGTTCGGAATCACCAATAATGCAATATCAAATTATCACCAAGTGGAAACTTAGCTATGTAACTAAGAGGAAGAAGAAACAGACGGAGTAGAGCTTCAAAACAGTACAGAAGGTAACAAGAAAAAGTAATCATGCGAAGATGCCAACAAGTATTGCAGAGAAGTAATTAAGAACAAAACAGATCTAGCAAACTGAATCTCTTACAATCAATCGCCCTATACTTACTCTGAAGAGAAGCTGAAACAATGAAACAATCAAGAATTTGACCAAATAGCTAATCAAACTTATACTTCTTCCACCCACAAATCATTTAAAAATTTTCCCCTCCAAACCATTATTGATACACGAGGATTGGCAACATTCTTCAATTGAGAGCATAATGAAACTATTTCATTTCATCAAATTTCAAATTCAGGGCACCATTCAGGTGAGGAATCCAAAAAAACAGTTACTTTGGCATCTTAAATTGCCCTAGAAAGCTCAATAACAACCACTGATGGAAAGAAGGCAGGAAAAATACCTGTTTTCCAACCTTTTTGCTAAGCAAGTCCTTAATATTTTCCACAGCATAAATGGTGCAAGCTCGAATTTCTACTTCCTCTTCACTACCAGCACTTATCTCCATGTTGGCATCAATAGTCTTGGCAAGGGACGAACTGTATCTCAGAACACCAAGCTGCCTAAGCACAGCTGGAACAATGTAATCCGCAAATATGGTTAGAGAACCTATATCATTGAAAGCACCATATCCTTGACCCTTGAACGCACCCCATAAATCTCCTGCAAATATCTGAGCTCTCTTGTATAGAAAAACCTGGTGTCCTTTATATACTGTGTGATCGCGAAAACCTATAACATTGCAAGAAGAAGAACTCATCATAACAAAAAAAAAACTAAATCACAAGATGTGAAATCCCTTGTTCTATGTAATGAAGACATCAATTGTAAAATTTGCAATTAGGACATGCCATACTTCACCACTCCATAACAACATTCGAACATCATAGCACAGTTGAATGCACACGCATGATATCCACGTTATTAATTCATACATGCAAAAGGCATTCTTCAATTAATCGAAGAAAAGGTACCGCAACAAGGGCAAAAGATTTACATGCACTTGCAAAAGAAACCAGATGAGGAATTCTTCAGAAACAGCCAGTGGACGTGGTCATATACAAGAAGGCTTTTTTGTTGTTACATGGCTGCATTTCCTAGAGGCTTAAGAAGAACTCTCGCACATTGCCCAAGCATGTGGCATTAAAAAGCAATATGATAAATGGATAAACTTCTGAGGCGTGTCTGAAAAGCAAGTATCATACAGATCATTGACTTGAGATACAACTAGCAACATCAATGAAAAAAATTGATGGTGCAGTTTTTAAAAGCAACCAAAAGGGCTTGAGGACTTCTTTTGATGACTCCAGGCTAACATGAAGCGAAAGGGTGCGTGATACAGGAGAAGTCACGAAACAAATTCGATATGTCATTGACTTCCATTCCAGATCCCTTATTCCCCAAAGGGGCTTGCTAAAGTTTGATGGCAGACGTCCCCTAAAGATATGCCAGATTCAAGGCTAACATTAAGCAAAAGGGTGAATGATACAAGAGAAGTCATGAAACAAATTCGATTTGTCATTGACTTCCAATCCAGATCCCTTATTTTCCAAAAGAGTTTTGATGCAAGAGAAATCATGAAACAAATTCGATGTCATTGAGTTCCATTCAAGATCCCTTAATTTTCCAAAAGAGGGTTTTGATGCCTTGATTGCAACATTACTCCCGGATAATACTTGAAACATTCTAAAAATACAAAAATAAAGGTACGTTGGATTTTTCCAACAAAAAACGTTTATACAAGGGTGAGGCCCTAAACAATCAAATTATGACGCACCTCAAAAAGAGGTTGTTTCCATGCTCAAAAGCCCTAAATTCGATCATCTCGACCTCAAGATGTATGGACATGAGAAAATATATATTTCAAGTATTGAAAATAATATATCTTGTAATTTATTATCTACATGGTAATTTTTCAAGATTTTCAAGTGTTAACAGATCTGTTCGATCTACATTATTTTGAATCTTTAAATTTTATAATTCAAGAGAAAGATAAATTTTAAGGCCATCATAAAAAAATTTTATACTAAAACAACATATTTCAGCACTATTTGATGTTATTTCAGCACTATTTGATGTTGCGCCTTACTTGGATTGTTTAGGGCCTCGGCCTTATACGTACCACACCCTTTCCAAAATTGGTACTCAAAGGGATCCAAAACACAAGGCACAGTGACAACCTCATAGGGACTAAAAAACGCGACTGCGAGATATTAACCTAAAATGTTCAATGAGTTTCTCAACAATACTAAACCTAAAAGCCGTAGTAAACATAATAAACATGGTATCAATATCACCTAGTGAAAAGAACTTTTTCAACATTAAAAAACAATTACAATGCGCAGGCAATTCAAAGCAAAGACCATTGAAAGAGCTCAATCTACTATCTTGAAGAAAATCAAGACAAATCAAACTTGGTCAAGCTATTTGGCATGCAATTAACCTTAAGAGAATAAAAAACATCAGCTGAATTGACTACAAAAGATCCATGATATCCTAAAACAAAAAATTAAAGCTTCATATGTGGCCAAGTTAGACACCTAATTGACTCCCTGGTGAACACAACAAACATTACCATCCTAATTGAATAAAAGCCATTGAAGCCTAGTGGCCTAGTCGAATCTAGGGCTGACAATGGACCCGGATCCGACGCGAGACCCGTAATTATTTTTTAGTATATTAAGTAAAGATTGAATATACATAAATATAAATATAAGAAGGAGCTGGCCATTTTATAGAGCTTACACCCCGGTGACTCTTCGGGCCTCTTGGATGTGGGATTAAATTGGAGTTGGCACTATGCATGTCTTATGACTCCCATTCGCCCCAAATAGTTGCAACATATATAAAAAACCCATGTATCTATGTTTAGCGGCTACCAGAAACGATGTTACCCCCATGTAAGCTTCAGAGAAACTCTAATACAATGACCTTAGCTCGCCATACGTCACCCTCTTTGATGGAATAAGGGTGAGCATTGATCTGGTCCAACCATCACCCTTTTTTATCTCAGGCCCTCTCTCTCTCCTCTTTAATTTTTTTAACGTTCTCTCTTTAGTCAACATTAAAAAACCAAAAAAACTTGACCTGCCATCATTCTTTGATCTCAAAACCCCACCCGCCCCCCCCTCTCTCTCTCTCTCTCTCTGTCTCTATCTCAGTTTCTTCATTAAGAAACCTTAATCTCTGCAAATTCCTCCTTTATACCCCATTTCACAAGGTGAACCTAGGTCTCTGCAAATTCTTCTCTCTCAAGCCATTTCTAAGTGTTTTTGGAGATTTCAGATCTGGGATTTTTTGTTGATTTGATGTCTTTGGTTTGCAAATTGTGTATTTTACTAAATTTTGTGGTAATCCAACGTTTTGGTTAGGAGATAGAGTACTACTAATGAGCATGAGGATTTTGTCTGCAAATTTGCATCATTTGATAGGAAAATGAATTCATAATCGAGAGGTATTTGAATAGGGGAGAGTTTCTTATGAAACACATTAGAGAAGGATGTAAAGGTGGGTCCGGGTCCTTAGTGTCCTCTCGGATACAGGTATGGGTAGCATTGTTTTTGGATCCATCGGGTACAGGTACAGGTATCGGTCCACAAGTAACATGTCGGGTCCGGGTCCAAGTCCAGCCGGACCCGACCTATACCCGACCCGTTGCTACCCCTAGCCGAATCCTAAGCCTCTTTGACAATGTATGCCACAACATTAAAAGATCAACAGCATTACAACCAGGAACAGGAACACAAGATTTAAGGTGGGGAATCCAAAACCTGTAATGGCAATAACTACGCCCTCCCCTCAGCCTAGGATTGATTGCTGGCACCTGAAGCATGGAGGATACTTAAAAGACAAATATTCATATCCGTTCATTGTATTAATTTAAAATCAAGGAAGCTCCCTAGTATGCCACCAGGAACTACATTCTACTCAGCCCAATTTCGTTCTTCTTTTTGTTTTTTCTTTCCTTGTTTTTTCTTTTTGTTTTTTCTTTCCTTGTTAAATCCAGTCCAAGTTACACTTAGGAACTAGCAGCCTATAGACTTTGACTGACAGGTCAGAATCTTTTATTAACCCAGCTCAATATACGTATTGAAAGCCCTAGCTCAACAAGTGCTCCAAAGAAAGCCCTACAAAAGTGAGGCAATATTTTTTTCATCAATTCAAAACCTATGTTTGGAACTTCTTTGAAGATTTACAAACCCAAATTACCAAGGCACCATCCCCCACATCTGTGAACAGCAGCCAAAAAGAGATGAATTATTTTTTTTATATTTTTATTAGGTGTACTTTACTAAGATGTACCCATATTCCTAATTTCAGATCATCCCGATTAGTAAACAAAAAATAAAAATTGAAACACTACTAGACAACTGTGACCGTGCGATGAAGTTTGGATAGAGATGAAGGTAAACGAAATCACTGTTCATTTTTTCCTATAGGCACTGTGAAAATTTTTTCTTATATATATTGTAGAAAAAACACAAAAATTGAAAAACTACTGGACAATTGTGACCGTATGATGAAATTTTCATGGTGATAAAGGTAAGCAAAATCACTATTCATTTTCGCCTAAGCGTTGGGAAGAATTTTTCCCATATATATATATATATATATATATATATATTAATAATAACACTATGAGACCTTCCCAAACCCATGTGAATAGGACTCCAAAAGATCACCATTAAATTTTGACACAAATCTCTAGAAAAGTAATCACATAGGTGTCAGATTTGGGTGAATGGGTTTATTGATTACTTTTCATGAGATCTATGT